CAGTGCCCCCCCCAGTGCCCCAAACTACTCCCCCCGAGTCCCCAGACCCCTCTCCGGGCTCTCCCCAGTGTCCCCAGCCTCCTTCCACTGCCACTGGAGACCCTTTAGGTGCCCAAAGGGACCTTCCCAGGGCCTCCAGTCTCCCCATGACTCTTCCCAGTCTCCCCTCCACCCTTCCCAGTCTCCCCACCACCCTTCCCAGTCTCCCCACCACCCTTCCCATTCTCCCCACCCTTCTTCCCAGCACCCCACCACCACTCCACACCACACCCCACATCACCAATCCGCTTTAATCCCAATTTCAAACACGCAGGCTGGGCCCATCCCCGCCCAGGCCCCCCCGGGCCGGGCTCCCGGCTCATTTCTTGGCCTGCACGTGGGCGCAGTCGTACTTCCCGCGCACCACGGTGAGCTTGACGCCGGGCAGGTCCTGCGTGCGCCCGCCCTGCACCAGCACCATGTGGTGCTCCTGCAGGTTGTGGCCCTCGCCGGGCACGAAGGCGATCACCTCGCGGCCCGTGCTCAGCCGCACCCGCACGCAGCGCCGGTTGGCCGAGTTGGGCTTCTTGGGCTTTCGGATCAGGTTCTTGAGCACCACGCCCTTGATCTGCGGGCGGCCCAGCGTGGGGCCCGGCTTGCGGGCCGGGGGCGCGGGGCGGCCCTGCCGGTGCATCTGGTTCAGCGTGGCCATGCAGGCCGACGGAGGAGGCGGCGGGAGGAGCGGCGCCGCGCCTGCGGAGGGACACGGACAGAGGGGGTTTTTTGGGTTTTTTTGGGGGGTTTTTTGGGGGGATTTTTTGGGGGGATTTACGCACTGCAGCGCGGCAGCGAGGCGGCGGCCCTGAGCACGGCACGGAGCGACATCTCCGAGGCTCTGAGGGGAGAAGACGCGGTCAGAACGGCCCGGGGAGAGCAGCGAGGAGCGGCGGGACCGGAGGCGCCACAGCGCGAGGGCAGCGGGGAGCGGCGGCACCGGAGCCCTCACGTTCCCCTCAGCGCGCCGCCATCTTACACAGGTCCGAGCGCACCGCGCTGCGATTGGATAGCGGAGATGCCAATCTCCGTGATTCGCGCGGTGATTGGTCAGGCTGGAAAGCCGTAGTCTGGAGACCCGCCCCTCCAGCAGCAACTTCCGCGTTAGGCCCCGCTCCTCCCCTTATAAACCCCGCCCCAAAAGTGGCTCCCCGCCCACATTGTGCTCGTCTCCGCCCTAGGCCACGCCTCTTACCCATATTTGGCTCCTCATCCCCCGCTCCTTGCCCATATTTGGCTCGCCACGCCCCTCCCGCCCGTATTCCCGCCCTTCGGGGGCGCGGTCTGTCGCCGCGGCGACGCGGGCGTGGGAGGACCCGGATGTGTCTCGGTCCCAACATGGCGGCGGCGGCGGCCGAGTGAGGCCTGAGGGGGCCCGGGGGGGATTCGGGGATTTCGTGGGTATCTGGGCTCCGGAGAGCCCCCCAGGGCCAAGGAGGGCGGTTGGGGGTGGGCTTGGAGGCTCCCCAAATCCCCGGCGGGGCGGCAGACGCAGCCGTGGGAAAGCCCGGGGTTCCTGGAGAGCAGCGGGATGTGGATCCAGCCGCCCCCCGCCCCAAAAACCCCCCCGAAAGGGGAGCCCGGGGCTGCTCCTGAGGGAATTCCGTTCTTCCCGTGCAGCACTTTCACCGGAGGAGCCGGAATGCGGAGCTGAGGCAGGATAAGTTTTCCCTCGGCGGAAGGTAGGAAACGAATCCGGAAATAATTGCCGGAATTTCCCATCCCGCGGGGATTTGGGGGTCTCCTCCCCACGCTCCCATCCAGCCCCTGAGCCCTGGGGTGGGATTTTTCCAGAGTTTCCTGTGGGATTTGGGTCAGGAACTCCAAGGCAGAGGGGCACTGGAGTTCCTCAGGAATTTCCAAACTCCTCAAAAACGGCGTTTCCACCCAATTTTGGTGCAGCGGGAAGGAAAATTGCCATCCCCGCTGGTGCTCCTGTCGCCATTCCTCAACAGAAAAGGAGGAAAAAAAATAAAAAAAAAAGCCTCTGGATTTGGGCTTTTTCCTGAAATTTAGTGAATTTTTATATAAGTAGCGGTGGGATAGAGGGATTGGCTTGGGAATCAGTGGAAATTGGGTTTTTGGGGAATACCCAGACGTGGAAAAGATCCAGCAATCCTTTGGAAATGGCCAAAAACTTCCCCCTCCTGCCATTCCCTGTTTAGGTTTGGGGCTGAAAGGAGGGAATTTGGTCACCAACATCTCATTAACAGCTGCGGGACGAGCAGGAATTTCCCCCGAGTTTCCAGGAAGAAATTCCAAGGATATTCCTGCCCCTGGCTTTGATTGATCTTTTTTAATTTGTTCGTTTCCCACGGGATAAAACCTGGGCTCCCTGGGAGGAATATCTGGGTTTTCTGCAGGGATTCCCAAACCGACCCCCAAAAAAGGAGGGATTGCCATTTTCCTAGATTTTGGTGACCTGGATCGTTGTGGATGGACGGGATCGTTACTGATTAATTGGATCTCCATTAATTGGATCTCCATTAATTGGCCCTTCCTCTGCCCCGAGCTGGAGATTCCCGACGTTCCTCTCTCCCTCTCCCTGCACTTCCAGCTCCGGGGAAACTTCCTGCTGCAGGAAAAGAGCGGAATTCCGCCAGAATTCCTCCTTTTCCTCTTCCTTTCACACGTTTTGCCCTTCCCCTCCCCTTTCCTGGCTCCCTCCCATCCCGCTTTTCCCGCTGATCGTGGAAGCTCTGAGCGATCGTTTCCCTTTTTCCTGGGAGTTTGGATCTCCTGGTTCCCCTTCCTGGATTTTTTTTTTTTCCTGTTTCCGTGAGATTTGGAGGATCCAGATTCCTGGAATTCCGGGATTCCTCCGGGGCAAAGGCCGACACTTCTCCTCCTCTTCCTCCTCCTCCTCCCCCTCCTCCTCCTCCTCCGGCAGATCCAGCTGGGCCAGTCCAACCCGCCCTTCCCGGCCGGACTGCTCCGGCCCTGGCCTGGCTTTCCTGGGAATTGTGACCCCTTCGTGGGGAATCCTGGGATTCCAGCTCCTTCCCAGTGGGAATTGTGACCCCTTTGTGGGGATTCCAGCCCCTTCCCAGCCTCTCTTTCCTGGGAATTGTGACCCTTTTTGTGGGAATCCCAGGATTCCAGCCCCTTCCCAGCCTCTCTTTCCTGGGAATTGTGACCCTTTTTGTGGGAATCCCAGGATTCCAGCCCCTTCCCAGCCTCTCTCTTTCCTGGGAATTGTGACCCTTTTTGTGGGAATCCCAGGATTCCAGCCCCTTCCCGCCTGGCTTTCCTGGGAATTGTGACCCTTTTTGTGGGAATCCCAGGATTCCAGCCCCTTCCCGCCTGGCTTTCCTGGGAATTTTGACCCTTTTTGTGGGAATCCCAGGATTCCAGCCCCTTCCCGCCTGGCTTTCCTGGGAATTGTGACCCTTTTTGTGGGAATCCCCGGATTGAGCTGCAGCCCGGCGCCGCTTCCCACTTTGGGGTTTTTTTAAGGAGAACCCCTCGGAGCAGCCCCATCCTGCTCCCAGCAGGACCTGCCTGGGATTCCGGAGCTCCAGGGATCGTCGGGATCATCGGGGAAACGCGCTTCCACCGATTCCACCGGAATTCCCGGAGTTTTTGGGACGCTTGGGGCTGTCCCGGTGCCCTAAAGAGCTGCTTAGGTTCCCCAAGGATCCCAAATTCCCGCCGGGGAAGCGGTGGAAGTTTTTCCAGGAAGATGTGGATTTGGAGGGTTTGGAGTCTCTTCCCGTTCCGGCTGACACCAGGAAAATAATTCCCCAAAAGTTAAAAACCGGCGCAGGGATTTTCCAGCAGAGACTTTGGCTCTTCCCTCTCCTTCCCAAAAGGATCAAGCCCAGCATGAGTTTGGGATTCAGGGAGCTTTAGAGGAAAAAAAAAAAACCAACCAGGAATAAGCAGTGGGAATACGAGGTGAGTTCCTCATCTGGCGGAATTTCCTCACCGTGTCCCCACCGGGGAAGGCTCCGGAGCAGGGATTCCCTTTGGGATCAACCCCAGCTCTCCCTGGGAGCTCTCCCCATCTTCCCAGGACTCTCTGGTTCCTCTTGGAATGTTGGGGGGAAACGCAGCACTTTAGGGCAAAGAGAGGACACGGGGGGAAGAAGTGGAAATGCTGGAATTTGGGAAGCAGGATGGAGCCAAACGCCACATCTGGAATGCCACTATGCCACGCTGGGCGTTTGTTTTCCTGAAATTCACCCAGCTCCGGTCTAAAAATCCTGAAATTTGCCGCAAATCCCCTTTCAGTCCCTTCCTGGAGGCTCTCCTGCCCAGTGACATCTGATTTTCCTGGATTTGGCCTTTATGGGAAGGCATGAAGTGCCTCTGTTCTTGTTTTTTCCCTTTTCTTTTCCCTTTCTTTTTCATCCCGAAGCTGCCAGCCCGATTCCCACCAGGACACAGCCTGAATGCCACTGATCTGGGGGGAATTTGTGGGGTTTTGTTGGGAATTTTAGGGAAAACACGGGATTATTCCACCCGGTGTGGACTCAGTTCCTTGTTGATTGGTAACTAATTAAACCCCGCTGGGATCCCAGGAATGCGACCTGGGAAGGGCTGAGGAATGAGTTCACCCCCTCCTGGCCCCCATCCCACCCTCTGGAATTCTTCGGGACCTCTCTGCCCCTGCCAAGTGCCGACAGTCTTTCCCCAGCCATCTGAAAGAAAGAGGGTTTTTGGGGTGAAATCCCATGGATTTGGTGTCCAGATACTGCACCTCCCTGATGTCCTGGCTGACCTGGATCATCCTCGGATATTTCCCATGGAGCTCACAACTGGAAAAGCCCAAATGCAGCAGATTTTAATCCTCCCACTCCAAATTCAGCTGCAGTTCCCCCAAACCGGGAGAATTTTCCATCCAAAAATGGGATTTTGGCAATCCAGAGAGGATCCCAGCCGTGTCCTAGGGAGGTGGAAGGAGGGATCAGCGTGGGATGAGCAGGGAAAATGGAAAATACACAGAATTCTGTCAGTTTTTGGCTGGGGTCGAAGTGGAGGAGGAGAAAAACTTCATAATGGATCATTGGTTTAAGGAGAAAACCTCAAAGATTGGGAAAAACAGTGAGAAAACCTTGGAAGCACTGGGATTCTGGAGCCTGGAAAATGGGATTGAGCCAAGGAGCTGGAAAAAAAAAAGTGAGGAAACAGGGAAATTGTCACCAGGAAAAGCAGTGAAAGTGGGAAAAATGGACCCACGCAGGATCCATGGGATTTTGGGGCCATTCCAAGTGGGATTCATGAACCCGAAACCTTCCAAGCTCAGCTCATTCTTGGCCTGGAAACTGCAGGAAAAACATGGAAAGACAGGGAATGAAATCAGCCAAACCCAGAGCACTGATCCTGGCGCTGGGATCCCAGGAAAAGCAGATTTTTTTGTGGCTTTTTGAGGTGTTTTGAATCTGTTTGTTGGTTCAGGTTGGGTTAATGGACTAATCCCATTTCCAGGTGGGAACTTCTGCTGCTCCTGGTGTTTCGAAGCTTGGACTTGGGGGGTAAATGGGAAGTAATTGGATAAAAGTGGGGGATGTTGAATGGAAGTGGTCAATGGATGGATAAAAACCATTCCAACAGCGGGATTTTCAGGGCTGATCCCAACCATGGATGGATAAAAACCATTCCAACAGCAGGATTTTGGGGCTGATCCCAACGATGGATGGATAAAAACCATTCCAACAGTGGGATTTTGGGGCTGATCCTGTCCATCCCAACAATGGATAAAAATCACTCCAACAGCAGGATTTTCAGGGCTTATCCTAATGATGGATGGATAAAAACCATTCCAACAGTGGGATTTTCAGGCTGATCCCGTCCATCCCAACAATGGATAAAAACCATTCCAACAGCAGGATTTTCAGGGCTGATCCCCTCCATGCTTCATCCCAACGATTGATGGATAAAAATCATTCCAACAGGGGGATTTTGGGGCTGATCCCGTCCATCCCAACAATGGATAAAAACCATTCCAACAGCAGGATTTTCAGGGCTGATCCCCTCCACAGTTCACCCCAGCAGCGTTTCCAGTTTATTCCACTCTAACAATGGGATTTAGGCGCCGATCCCGCTCCGGGGGCCGTTCCCCGTTG